GAGATTGTGCCATCTTTTGCAATGTACAATGTACAATGTGATGTCCTGCTTTGTCACTGCCCTTGCACTCTGGCTTTAAAGAGCCCTGACAAACGTTACATTGCACAGATACTATCTATAGAGTACGGAGCCGTCGTGGCGGAGCGCACGAGCGCTTGAAAATCTATGAAAAATGGACACACAGGAATGGAAAATACAGACGGCACGGCCCGGGAGCCTTCATGCTGTTCGTCGAAGTGAGTGGCCAGTCACAGTCCTCTGTTGGAGTGCTTTCGTCGCTATCATAATGCCTCACAGTGAATTGACAGTTTTCTTTCAAAACTTACATGATTCAAGACTAGTCGTCATTTCAGCTTATACTGGTGTGCCTTTGAGTTTGCCAACATATGTAGGCATCCTCCGAGTGGTTGACACCTTCACCGTCAGCCGATGCATCCTGCCGTAGTGTTTATCCGTGTCATTTATCTTAATAGTCTGATGCTCGACAAGGCAGGCATCGCCGACGATTCTTCCGAATCTACTGCAATGAACGTGTGCGCCGACTGCTTTGCGTCATTACCAAAGAAGAAGATCCCCCGATTTGCGCTCGCAAATGGTCTTGAAGCACATTTGTTTCAATCGTCAGATCCGGTGTAACCATCACGGCGGGTCTTTCACGGTAATATATGCGCATAAAATGAATGTTGTGTCAACAGCACCGTGTTGCCTCGAACTCCTGCCGATATCAACGAGCTCCTGAGCATTGTGGAAAATTCAAGTCTGATCAGTTAGGTCCTATTTTTCGAATGCGTAAGGATTCATCTGGGTGTTCCTTATGTGGTCGAAGTATTACCATTGGTTGTATTCTAACATTCACATTGAACGAGAAAACTTGAATCTCGAGCTTGCCGAGTCCCGACGATGCGATGCCTGGCTTGTCTGAGCGCGTCCATGGGAACCACGAGCTTGATGGCAAAAGGGTGTTTGAAGGGGAATCAATTGTATTTTAAGAGCATTTTATAGAGCTTGTGGTGGATGGAATGATGGTAGGTCTGTTGTAACAATGCTTTGAAGGTCGATGTCTCCGATCTAGAGTGTGACAACATTAGACGAACATTTAGATATAGCTGCTGCTTTCAAAATCTGTTTTCGGAGTGCTACCAACTCGTTGCCTGACCTTGTGGTCCGTCATCGAGGACTCCATCGATTCCAGTCAATGAATACAACAATCCTGATCTTATTCCAGGCACATACCCCACATCAGGAAAAATGGGAACTGCAATATAGCGCCACAGAGGCTACATCGCACTTATAGCCTGGTTGCATCTCCCCCCCGATATAGTACCATGTAGCGCAGACTATATGTGTATTTGCACAACATAGCATCCGGTATCTCGTACCTTGGCAATGTAGTGCAGCTATGTAGTGATCTATTGTTTAAAATTGTAGTAAGTACACATCATAGCACTCGCGCACTCGGGAGATAAATGGCGTGCATTCACGGTTTAAATACTAGTCTGCAGTTATTCTACTCAGCCTCGACTTCATCAACTTCAAATTGACCGCCCTCGGACTCCAAGTCAGACTCCACCTCGTCACTACTGTCTGCACCACCGCCCTGCTGGTATTCCCGGATGGCCTTGTTGATCTCGTTGTCTGAAAGGCAGTCTCCGTCCCTGACGTCAATTGGATCCACCTTTGCATGCGACCTGTATTATGATTGTAAAATTTGAAAGTTCAAATGATCGAAATACACATACCTGCCATTGTTGTTGAGTTCCGTCAGGATGCCATCAAGGATACCGTGATCCTTCGTTCGAGTATCAAACTTCTTGAGGTTCGCGAGATGCTTATCATAGACCTCCCTACATCAGTAAAATACCACGGTTCTTAATTTAACTTATTACGAACTTATTTTACTTGGTTTGGCGCCCAAGTGCGTCAAGATGTTTAAGAGCCCATCTGGACAACGAATAACAAAATTTCAAATTTCAACTGAGTCATGTCACATGGTCTGGGAGATCCCGGATCACACACCTCGGTTAGACTTCGTATTAACAATGATAACGCTTCGCATACATGGACTATGATATTGACCTTGAAGCGCAACAACAATTCGACCAACGTCGACGTCGCTGGACCGTGATTCTCATAGCTATGGTAGTGCAAATTATGAATACCTACCAGCTTCTGTTCTTATCCTCAACTGTCCGCATCCCATATCATACATCCATCCTCACTGGTGAAGCATGGGTGTACGAGCTCATTTATGGACATCCTGACAGGATCCGGCACAACTTTGGTATTGATGGCAATGTTTTCAATGCACTGCTGCAGGTTCTTCACCACAATAGATTTGTCCTATCCCGCAATGGCGTATCAGTGGAGGAGCAGCTTGGCATTTTTATATATACATGTGTCACTGGATTATCATCCCGCCTTGTTGGGGAGAGATTCCAGCGCTCCCCTGACACGGTCACAAGGTATAGTGGTCTCGATATTATTTTTCAAGCGACTTAATCTATTTTCCAAGATATTTCAAACGCATGCTTTTCTTCTTCTCGTCGAATCCATTTTACAGCTCCCAGATCACATTTCCGACTCACACAACCCCAATTTCCCATAAAATTCTCGATGATCCTCGATATCGGTTCTTTGATCAGTGTATCGGTGCCGTAGACAGCACGCATATCCAGGCTTTTGTACCGCCAGAGGAACACTTTCACATGCGTAACCGCAAAGGTTTTTTATCGCAAAATTGTCTGTTCATCTGCGATTTTGACCTCCATTTCTTGTATTCACTCTGTGGGTGGGACGGATCTATGTCTGATGCTGCTCTGTGGACGGACGCCCATTCAAACGACCTACGCATCCCTGAAGGTCGATACTTTCTTGCAGGATGCTGGTTTTGGTACCTCCGATGTCCTCCTTGTTCCATACCGGAGTGTCCGTTATCATTTGAAAGAGTGGCGACAGGCCAATATCAAGTAGTACTAATCCTTTATTATTTTAAGTTAGCGTCTGACTGGGATTCTACACAGGCCACAGAATGCCAAGGAACTATTCAACCTTCGTCATGCTGGACTTCGCAATGTGATTGAACGCATTTTTGGTGTTATGAAGCGTCAATGGGGCATCTTGCGACATGTCCCTGAATATAACATGGATATTCAGGCTCGGATCCCTGTAGCGCTGTGCGCACTGCACAACTTCAATCAAAGGTATCATCCTGACGACTTTGACGTCGAATCTGACGGAATGAACCTTGATGTTGCGTTGGGTGAACTCGGCGATGGACCAGCTGACACAGCAGAACAGAGCAGAGCGGATCAGCGGCGGGAGAGAATTGCAGAGGAAATGTGGGCTGACTATCTCAATGAGCATAGGGAACGAGGACTTCCATTGCCAGGTACAGCTTGAATACAAATAAGTAGTAGTTTGTATTGTCGTACTACACTCCGCAGAACCACCGCTTCAAGCTCTATACCATTACTACATCGTCGTCTTGGTTGGACTTGAGTTTGCGGAGAGTTTTCTCCAACCAGGCAGCTCGAGTTGTCTCTGGAAAATTAGAAAAAATTACAGCCTGTGTCTTGTCCCTAGCGAAGTAGTCTGCGATCTCGAGCTGATCATCAGCTGTAAGAGTCGTATGTTCTGATAACAAGACAACAGCACGAGCGAGGGGGTCAGATGAAGTAACCTGGGGGGGAGTTTGGAGGTAGTCTTTGATGTAAGTAGTGAGCTCCTTCATCGTCTCAGACCCATCCTTTTGTGCCTGGGCAGTTACAGATAGTGGCCGGCGTGTACGTTTTCGAGCGCTTGCTTCTGATTCAATAATTGAGGGTGTGGAACTGATTCTGCGCTTTGCACTGCGGCTAACACTTGTCAACACAGACGAGGGGGCTGAGCCACCACCGGAAGAGGTAAGGAAACAAGATGGAGTAGAGGGCGATGTTGATGAGGGATCACTGAAAGTGGCCGATGGCCCAGGAGTGCGGAGAAGCCCACTGCCACCCACTTGCATGACTTCTTCGGTTGCAGAGGTAAGCTGGCTGAGATTAAAGGAGGGAGGAGTAGCCTGAGGGATGTCATTGCCGGTGGGCACTGGAGGTGGTCGATAGACATGCGATCCTTTTGCAATCTTTGGCGTCATCTGCTCCATAGCAGAGGTATGTTTGAAGCCCTTATTTTTGAAGGCCTTCGCTGCAGGGCGTCGCTGAGAGTGATTGCGTTATTAGTAGTGCCGGCTGCAGCAGTGGCAACAATACATACCTTGACGTACCGATCCCAGACATCATTATTCTTCATCACTATTCCAGCTCCATACTCATCACTCCATGTAAATCCCGATGTGTTCTTGATATCTGCGACAGCACCATATGATGTTTTGAGCTGCAAGACATACATTCTTTGAGTTTTCCCTGATCACCGGCAACACGATCATCGGACTGATAACATACAGATTGCCACTTGTTCTTACAAACACCAGCTGTCTTCTCAGCACCAGATGCATTTGGGAATCTCTCCTTCAGTAGATTTGCAGCGCTGGTGAGTGTTGTACCCTTGGGATTTCCATCGCCACTTGCAGAGAACTGAGATAACAGGAAGTCAACGAAAACAGTTTCTTCTTCTAGCGTCCAGGAGGCAGCAGGCTTTCTTTTGCTTTGGTTCTTCTTCAATTCTACTGGATCAACAGTACCACGAGAACGAAGGGAGCGATTAGATCCATCACTGTGGCTTGATACATTAGATGACATGGCGGTTATGGCAGGGAAGCAAGGTGCCCTGTGTGAAAGAATCTGTGTGATCCGGGATCTCCCAGACCATGTGACATGACTCAGTTGAAATTTGAAATTTTGTTATTCATTGTCCAGATGGGCTCTAAGGCTTCGATTTGACTTGGATGGCAACTTGAGTGTCTTACCATCAAGCCGACAAAGACGCTCAGACAATTAAAGTATTTTTAAGACAAATTTTGAACTTAAGCATTGCAAGAAAAAATGAATATATTAAGATGCCAGCTCAAAAGCATGGTGATCAATGAACCGATTTACGTAGAATCCTCAATATACATCCAGAGAATCGTAGAATCGAAGGCCGCGTGGTACGAGCTGAGTACCGAATATTGGGAGTAAGTGAGCACCGCGAATGATACTGTCAATATGGATGATGGACAAATCGCGAGAGCCGTCTTCATTGAAAGACGGTGCCACCATCCACATTCCTGTGAGCTCGTCTCGTTCCTCGGCGATGCGATGGAACCATTGAATGAGGGCACATGGGTATGTGTGACTGTTAGTAAAAGTAAAAGAGACAAAACAGAATATTCGAACGACATCCATGCTCAACATTCCATCATGCCTATTGTCCGTGTTGACGAAGGCGCAGTCAAAGCGAGCTGGTCCCTTGCGCCACGAAGGCACAACGCGAATGTGCTCACGGCGCATACCAGTGATTCCACTCGGATCACTGAGTGCGATAAATGTTGCAGCGGCTGAATGAAATATCTTGATTGGTCCCGTGTAGGATGGACAGTCGCGAAGGGGGACATCGGCAGAAGAATGGTGGTTGTCTGCGTGTATTTGGTCGTACAGGAAGAGGCGAATGAGGGTCGGGATGTTGAGAGGTGATCCGTCAGAGCACCCGACCCGGTGTCATTCTAATATCGCGACTGTCACTGTACAATTTCCCCCTGTCATTGCATGTCACTCACTTAGTTACGTTTATTTTCTTTCTCTTTACTTAAGGCGGGCAGACGCCCTCGTCGCACCTCAGTCTCTTTGCCATAGACTGAGGTGTGTACGCTCTCCTTGTCCCTATTGATATCATACTCATTAGTACACCTATAGGCTCGCGCTATCTTAGGTTCGTACATTAGGAATCTTAGTCTCTTTGCCATAGACTGAGGCTCGCGCTATCTTAGCTCTCACCCTTTAACACGGGAATGATGGGATGTCGAGTTCGTCTGCGAGATCAGCAACGGTACGGGCGCGTTTTCGTTCTGAACGGTGTGTTAAGAACGAAGGTCACAGTGAGTAGAGGGTTGGATACGCACGAAAGGTCCGTGCTAATTGCACATCAGCAATGACATCCACATCATCTACAACACCCTGATCCTCAACATCGTCAAAGTCGTCACTCTCGATAGCAAAGGGGTTGCTTCCTGCATGCGCTGGGTTTGGTTGGACCTCTGGGTCTCCATCGTCGTTGTCGATATATGAGGGATTCTCAACTAGAAATTCAGTGAGTAAAATTCAATTAAAATAAAACAGACCACATACCAAATGAATTGTAGTAGCTGAAGGCACAAGACCCTTTGAGCATGCCGCGTGTTGTGAAATCAACTCTTTCTGCAGCGACTTTGTCCAGGCGCTGATTGGTAAGGAGCATCTGGCTGAGCGCGTTGTACTTGCTTGAACGTCGCCATGGTTGCTTTACCGCCTTGATATGTTTTGATTCCGTGATTGACGAGCAGAGGCCGTTCGGAGCACCGAACATTCGGATGAGAAGCTCATAGTGGATGAGAGAGTGTTGTCGGGGTAGGGAAATGTCGAAGCGGACGCCAGTAGTCTGGAAAATAGTCCGGTAAGTATGAAAACGCCCAAGGGCATCTTTCAGCGCTGCGAGAGTGTCGTCCGTCACTACGTTCGCGCGCACGATGTAGCAGAACTCTAGCAAGGCTCGAAATGCCCGAACCATATCATCTGGTACGTGGCCCTCAATTGCTGGTAGATAGACCTAGATAACAGCTGTGTAAATTTGATAAACGTGAGATAGTGAATGAAAATGTACCTTCATCAAAGCTTTGGAGTCGTCACCTGTCCATTGTGAGAATCCACGGCCTTGTGGAAAGCGTTGTAGGCCAGGGAAGGGCGGCGCGGAAGCAATTCTAGTGTATTGTCAGTAATCACAACAGGCAGCGGCAGATTGAAAATACCTTCGGTCAATATCATCTAAGATCGCCTTGGCGCGTGTTTTGCCGTGCGTGAGTTCGAGGTATTGACCCACCCATTCAACAAGGTGGTCCTTGAAGGTTCCTTTGATGAGCTGGTGCAGTATGTCGGGGGCAAGGAGCTCGTGAATGTCGGCACGAGGAAAGTCATTGGTGAAGGGCTATGAAGTGCAACCGTTAGTTCAATAATGCACAAATGATATGGGGGGAAAACATACCACTAACTCGCCAATGATACCATACTCGTCCCAAAGTATACCAAAATCTATAGAATCCACAAGCGCATCAGTATGTTCGCGTGACCGAGAAACACCTCCTTCATCAAGACTTGAGGGAAATGCAAGGCATCTGTGAATACAAATGAGACTTTGCATAGTAAAACCAGAGAGAACTAAAAGGGGGGGAGGGGGGGGGGGGAACACGGCAGATACATTGAGGACATCGCGTAAAACTTCGAGGAGGATCCCTCTGGGGGTCATGAATGCGGATACGAACAGGCGGTGTCCTGAGGATTGCTGGAGGATCATGAATGCGGATACGAACAGGTGGTGTCCTGATATGAATGTGGATATGAACAGGTGGTGTCCTGATATGAATGCGGATACGAACAGGCGGTGTCCTGAGGATTGCTGGGGGGTCATGAATGCGGATACGAACAGGTGGTGTCCTGATATGAATGCGGATACGAACAGGCGGTGTCCTGAGGATTGCTGGGGGGTCATGAATGCGGATACGAACAGGCGATGTCCTGAGATGAATGCAGATACGAACAGGCGGTGTCCTGAGGATCTCTGGTAGCCACTTACCTTCCACACCAATCTTTGACCATGCACGCCAATACTACCTGCTCTTCGTAGTCTGCAATGTAGGGTCCAAGGCCATATATAATGCGCTGGTAGTGTCCGTCGCCACACCGTGTGACCTATGCGTTGCGATGCGCCCGCCGGACGTTATTGTGAATGTTCCCAATCGAGAGATATAGAGGGTAGTAGTCGTTTTTACCAGTAGCGACAGACACCGTCGTCTTGTCACTGCCTACAATGATGGGAACGAAAGCCGCACCATGTGTTTGTGGGTCCTGTGCGATTTGGTCCTGTACCTGACATCAATATGAGAATATACTAACAGACACAAAATACATACTGCTTGCTGCCAGGCCCAGTCTCCTGACATGAAATCCTTATAGCGGCGTTGCTCATCCTTCTCCTGAAATTCACGGTAGGGCATATAATCAATTCCACCTTTGAAATCTGGATTTGCGAGCATGTTCTTGACGACGGTATGAGGGTCCCGGAACCCCCCCTCGTGCGACTGTTCCATCCAAAGTGGACACTCTCCAGCAGGTTTATCGCCATTGTACTTCAGGGAGAAGCTTTCCCATGCGACATCGCCTAGCGGTGTTGCGTCGATAGTATTGTACAGGTCCTTGTAGTCGGCAAATGGTGGATTGTCGCGATGAACAGCGAGAGTGATTCCCCACAAGTAGAGAATCTTGTTTATATCACCAGCGGACATCTGGTTTTCAGTGTACATGAAATCTGCGCACTCAAATTCCAGTCGGTTGCAATATGGAGTCCAGTCGTCAGGACTTTTTGCTGTGTATGGTGGAGGAGGAGTGCCAGGGTCAACAAAGTTGCCATTCTCGTCACAAATACAACCTGTGGGTATAGGTTTTAATCAGAGACAAGCCGGCACCGCAGCACAACTATTGACTTACCAGTCAGCGTCTCGTGATAATCACGAATAAGTCCATGCTTCGACTCCCAGAGCTCATTGTTGGTGCGTCTGGGAGCTTCTTCATCTTCAATTTCTTCAACAGAGGCGTGTTGTGTGCGTTGTGATCCAGGATGGGTAAACGAGTGGCTATGGGCCGAGCTTTGATGAAGTTTCAGCCCAGAGGAATTTTTCAACCAGCGTTTGCAGCCTGGGTAGGGACACTGGATGCGGCGGGCGCTAAACGCTTGTCGTTTGAGCTGCGCATGAGGGATCTCGTCTGGCATGATGGATGGGAGGCTAACTGAAAAGCGCAAACCATTAGCAAACACACTAGGGAGAATGTAATGTAATACATACAAAACAGGGTGCGCGACACATAACTTAGAGTTTCAAAGTCCATAGTGACCGCTCAACCTTACACCAAATTTTCTCCTCCACAAGCCTGACCGTTCAAACAATGGTGCGCCCAAACACTCGTCCTAAAAATGTGAACCAGCATCCTGGTGAGATCCTCCTCCAAAACAAGAGGAAAAGGCGCACTGCTCGTCAAATCCAGGAAGACAACGACCAAGCCGAGCATGAGCGGCAGGAGAAAGAAGCCGCTGATCAACGCACCACCGAGAAGATTGCGTCTATTGAAGACAAGAAGGCATTGAAGGACTTGAAGATCCTTTTGCATGCGCCAAAGCCTCGGCCTCGGGCACGTCCTGTGTCGAAAGTCGAAGGTGAGCCAGCCGAACATTGAGGATGACGAGGAGATTGTAGAAGCAGCTGAGATGGGGGATGTCGAAATGGAGGACGTTGCTGCAGGCGATAATGATGGAGATAAGGACTTT